ATCTTCCTATAAATTATGATATAAAAGTGCTTTGCAAACTGTAAAAACCTCCATAAAGATTAATAATCTAGCAACACACAGGGTCTGGCAGAAGAGAGGCCTGCTTGAGTGTGGTCGATAGGGTAATAATATGAGCGTAATAATCTATAGTTTTAATTTGAACATTTCACTTCAAATGTCATATGGTATGCCTGAGTGTGATATTGTTGTTACAGAATTACATGGCTATGATCTTGTAGTAAAAGGTTTTGTAATAAACCGGGGATGTTATTGTGTCAGACCCTGTGGATTTACTATTATTCATCTACTAATACTACTAGCAGTAATGATAATAATAAACCTTATGAGGCAGGAACCTGTACCCCCTTTCTACAGAAAAGGGTACCGAGGCTCAGAAAGGAGAAGTGGCTGGCCCACAATCACACGGCGGGCTGAAATACAGCCTGTACTCAAACTTGCATCTCCTGACCTGAAATTCTGGGTACTTTCTACTGTATCAGGCTGACTCGGTATAATGTTTACTTTTAAAACCATGACTTCTACAGATTGGAAGAGAAAAGTGAGAGAAGAGTCTAGAATTAGGCACAAAATTGTCATTTCTAATGTTGTAAGAAAGGCCAATCCCGTATTATTGGACGACACAGTAAACTAAGCTAAAGATCACAAAGAAAACAAACAAAAAAAGATTCATCGTACTACAGTCTCAGAAATAAAACCAATTTTAGCAACTTAAAGCTAGGAACAAAAAAAACACTTTTCCCATATAGCATTTTCATTATTTCTTTAAAAGAGTGCACTTCGGTCCACAGGACTGCAAGCATTACTTCCCAGTTCACGTCGGAACTGCCCCTCCCTCGAATGCATGTACCAAAGATCCTTTGAGCCCTGATGCTTATAAAAACTACCTTAAGTCGTAAGCCCCTAGGGACTTTTCATTAAGTCCATGAGCAGTGATTTCACTGGACACATCTGGCAATGCATGAAACTAGAATGTCTCCTGTCTAGTCGCAACACATATTAAGTCTTCATTAAAGCCCAAAGCAGAATCTTGCGAGGTTGTCTGTACTTCAGATGTTCCCCAAAAGAAGTCCAAAATACAAATATTTAGTAATTATTTTTCTAAGACGGCAGACTTATCACAGGATTTCAGCTACAAGTTTGACAATTTCAGCTTTATAAAACAGATACCCAACAAATCTTTAGCATATTGACTGGCAGATAAAAGGCACTCATTTTAATCTTAACATACACATATGATTTCTATATAAGTGACAATGCAAACAAAGCTGCAAGTGTTCAAGTATTTCTCTTATTTGAAATACTGGTACCACTAACAGAAGCAAAAGCAACAAAGCATAAAGCAAAGTGTGAAACTTTCCATTGAAAAAAGACTGAAAGAAAGAGTCTGAGTATTGAATAGCTTTTAGTCAATAAGAGGCAAGGGAGCAGAATAATTCTGACTTCCACATTAGGAAGCAATGTGGTATTGTGAATAAGAACATGTGCATTGGAACGAAACAGATCTGAGTTCAAACCCTACCCCTTCCACTTACTAGCCATGGGATTCTGGGAAAGTTTTTTAACCCTGATAAACCCCAATGTCTTCATCTATAAAACAGGAATAACATATCCTACCTCACAAAGTTATTAAAGTATTAAATAAAAAATGTCTTAAATGCATTCACTGCAACACCTGTAATAAAAGTAAGTATTCAGTAAGACACAGCTATTTATTAACAGCCTTTTAAAACTGTAGAATATTAGCCCTGGCTTGTGCAGCTCAGCTGATAGGGCATCATTGGCAAAGTGAAAAGGTCACTGGTTCAATTCCCAGTCAGGGCACATGCCTAGGTTATGGGTTCAGTTCCCAGTCAGGGTGTGGACAAGAAGCAACCAACAAATTTTTCTCTTCCTCTCTTTCTCCCCTTCTTCCCCAATCTCAAATAAATAAATAGATGATAGATAGATAGATAGATAGATAGATAGATGGATTATTTAAATAAGATAGAACAATTTCAACAACTTACTTTTGCCAGTAAACAACACAGATGATGCTGAAACTCGGAGATGCTAAGATCCCTGATCTTAAAAGGGACTTCAAATCCCAATCTTTAATTCAAATCGATCATTAATGATCCAGTGATAGGGCTTAAGTGATTAATGTACAGAGGAACTCAAGATTTAAAGGTTTTAGTTGTAGTTTGAGCTGATAGGCTTAAGTGAGTAATTCAGGTGGAAAGGTGTTATTCTAGGAACTGGGATGAGTGGCCACAGAAGGTCTATAAGCAATTCAACCTCCGTGCCCCAGGGGTTCTGCAAAGATATCTGAGCCACTGTGTTCTAAGGAGGGAACTTCTGTGATGCAGATAAAGAATTGTTGATCAGCAGATAAAGAAATACTAGGAAAATCCCTGCTGGACTGCAACTCTTATCTGATTAATCTTTTTATCCAAATCCTTACCTATGACTGTTTTTGAGGGTACATGATTGCCATCTTCTCAGACTGTTGGCATTTGAATAGAGTTTCCATAAAGATTCAGTCTTGTCTCTATTTATTGGTTCTGGTAGTGACAGGCAGCATGAACACCAACTTTTCCAGTTTCAGTAACACTAAAGACTAAGAGCCACAACTTCCTTTCATTTCTAATTTTTTCTGAGCAACGAAACAACATGGGAATTATGCTTGTGCTTTAACAGTTTAACCACTATCTATCTGTCTCCAAACAAGCACTCCCTTTCTGAATAAGATGGACAGCAAGGGTCAAGGTTAGACTCAATAAAGAGTTGAACTAGAGCCCATGAAGATCTATGCTACCTGCCTTTATTTCTGTGTAATCTATAGTCCCAAGAAAGGACAAAGAAGTAGGTACCAAATTACTTACATATCTGTTAGAAACAGAATAAGAACAGTACACAAGATACGTACTATTTCATTCTCCATTATACCACAGAAAGCTAAATTAACTTATTTATTTGTCTCCTACAGTTAACTTATTTAGAGAAGCCTTAAGGGCAAAGACTATGTTCTATTCATCTTTATGATCTCACAGTCCCTAGCACAGCTGGTTTTGTGCACAGCTGCTGAGGGTGGCATTAAAGACAGAGAGTCAGAGATCCAAAGAACGAGTGAGTTAACCAGGTGTAGGAGGACCCAGGCAGTAACAATATCCATCAACAAAGCAGCTAAAAGGAGATATGACAGAGAGTAAGTCATGATTTTCCCTTTTGAGGAGCTTGAAGCCTTGTGAAAATAAATATAAGAAAAAGAAAGATAAAATATACCAAGCATCTGGAATGAGGTAACTACTAAAATTAATAATTACTGGCTACCTTTTACTGAATGTGTCAAACATTGTGTAAAGACCATTACAGACATTATCTCATTTAACTATCACATCCCCATGAGTCAGATATTATTATTCCCTGTTTCAAATGAAAAACTAAGAGCTGGAGCTAGGATAAGTAGCTTACTCAAGTTCATAAAATTATCAAACAGGGAGGCTATGGTTCAAACCCATATTCAATTCCAAAGCCAGGACTCTTGACCACTAGGAACCAGAGAAATAGCACTGAAGGTGGTAGTAACTAATCAGGTACTGAATATATACTGAAATGGAGACAACCAGATGTGCTAAAAAATGAAGAGCGGTGTTTAAATTAAGGAGGTACTGGGTAATATCTGCAAGATGGGATGACTAATTGGATGAGATCTAATTCATCAAAGGTTAAGTCAGCTTCTGGACCCTGCTTTCCTCTTCCAGATGCAGCCAGCAGGGCTTCTTTATGAGCTTCCAGAGCAAATGTATGCATATGAATTAATAAAATAAGCATATATAATTTTTCATCAAGTAACTATATAAAATATTCTTAAATTCCCTTATTCTCCTTTCATATAAAATATTTTTAATACTTAAAATACTTATTTCTTAGAGAGGGTGAAAGAGGGAGAGAGAGAGCATTGGTGTGAGAGAAACACTGACTGTTGACTCTCATACACGCACCGACTAGGGACCAAACACGCAACCCAGGCATGTGCCCTGACCTGGCAACCTTTCACTTTGAGGGAAGATGCCCAACCAACTAAGCAACACTGGTCAGGGTAATATAAAATATTTTTAAATTCCCTTATTCTCCTTGACCAGGGAAAACATGAATTTGAGTTATCATTTTAAGCAACTACAATAAAATTTAAAAGATGAGCATAATCCATAATAAACTTTACTGTACTTGACTTCCCCAGGAATTACATCACATAATCTAAAATATGAATTTAAAAGACACTAATATATGCAAAATCTTTTTAATGCCACATTTTCTCCCTTGACTTATTGCTTGATTTTATAAATCTCAGAGGCTGTGTGGTAGTTTACACTATTGGTGCATATTCTTTAAGTTATAAGGTCCAAGATTTTAATTTTCCAAACACAAATCTAAAAGTTATAAAATCATAACTAAATGTTATCTCATTGTAAAAAATTCTTATCTTCTATTGAGATGATACATGGCTAAAACTGAAAAGACTGACAATACTAAATGTTGGTACAGCAGAAGAACAAGTAGAACTCTCCCACACACTGCTAATGGGAATGTAACTCAGTAAACACTTGTATTTTGCAGCTTACCCACCACAAACTCTTGCAATATATCCTTACCTTCATTCCTGATCACAACTCCCACTACTGAACGTCAAGCCAACAGTAATGGGCTGATCACTTTGTACATCATGTAACTGTCTAATCACTATGTTGTAGACTCAAAACTCATACAATATTATATGTCAATAAATAAATAAATCTGCTCCAGGATCAAACTGTAAAAAGGGAAAGATAATCTCAATAAATGAACAGATGTAATAAGATGAAGATATTTGCTATAGCAATTAGACTAAGCTCTTTAAAAAGATTTTGCATTTCCTTCTAATTACATTACTTGATATCATGTCAGTGAACTTAATTTTTTTTTTAAGGTAAAGAAAAGAAGAGAGAAAAAGAAAAACTTACTGGGATTGAAAATTCCTCAGCCAAATATTTCAAGGATGCTGCTTCTCTTGCCAAGAACTTGTTCCTTTCTCTCATGTTGCCCTGAAGTTGTGTGTCAAACTCCTTTCTTACCACAGATGCAACAGAATCAATAATCACAAGTTTAACTCCTTTTGAAATAATTTCTTCTTCTAAGGATTCAATCCTGTAAAAAAGTGGAATTTGTAAAATAGTAGAAAAGTCTAAGCAGTAATAAAAATAGAGCATTGTGAAGGTTGACCAACTTAAAACAACAACAAATCATTCTTTCCTAAATTATAGTGATGATTGCAAGTATCCAATAAACATAACTTATTTTCATATATCTCTTCTACACATATGGTACTCTTTTGGAAATAACCCAAAATGTTTTCATTCCTTAGTTTTCCTATAATATTGTTAAAGCTCCAATTTTAGGGTAAAATTCCTAAATTTGTGGTAGCCAGTCTCCAAAATGGCCCCTGTTTACTCCCAACCCCTGTTTTGACACCCTAAGGAGTCCCTCTCACACTGTACCAGGGTGGGTCTTGTGACCAATAGCATATGACAAAGTTAGGGCCCCTCATTTCTGAGAGTACGTTATAAAAGACTAGAGCTTCCATCTTAGACCCTCTCTCACTTGTCCGGTCTCTCTCAGATGACTCACTCTGGGGGAGGCTAGTGGCTGTGTTATAAACAGCCCTGTGCAGAGGCTGCAGGTGAGGAATGGAAGCCCCCGGCTAACATCTGGGAAGAAGGGGGGCCAGCCAGCAACTACATGAGCGACTTTGGAATTTCCCAAGATTCTCCAGCCCCAAGCAGGCCTTGCGGTAACTACAGCCCTGGCCGACAGCTTGACTTCAAGCTTTTAAGCAACCCTGAGCCAAAAATACCTAGCCAAGCCACCCCCAGATACCTAACCCTCAAAAACTATGCGAGACAACATATGTTTTCCATTTTAAGCTGCTACACCATGGGATAATTTGTTAATGAAACAGTAATCAATACACCTCTTAATTAATATAAACTATTTTATTCACTTCATTTTCTTTTTTTATTTTTAAAGAAATCAACAACAAGCCATAGTGAATAAAGAAGAATGCAGCAATAATTATTTCCTATAATCCTAACATGTAGGGACTTTTTTTCACTCAGAAACTGAAAACATGAAAAACAAAAAATAAATCTTCAAAGTATTACTAAAATGCCAAAGTCTAAAATGGCATACCTGCGAAGAACTTCATCACAGCTGAGTTCCCGATAAAGATAAACTTTACTGCTTGTCAAAAGTAATTTTTCCTCAGTGTTAAAATATCTGGGGAAACGAGATTCTGCTATCTCAATCAGTCTGTGGAAGAAAAAGAAGCATAAGTGAAAAGAGCCAATGATATTTAAGACCACATGGCTGAACCTCCCATGAATTTTACTTAGGAAACTCTTAAGTCACGAGGAACACCAGAACAAAAAAGGCTTTTTCAATAGAGCAGGTACAAGCAAAACGGCTTCATATGCCAGTTTGCAACACACGCAGTAAGAGAGGTTAGGGAACAGAGCATGAGATCAGCAAGGGCTTTTAGATCTCATCTAATGTTGAACAAGCAACAGTGCCTCTGAGAATAAACACGTTTCTGGGAATAAGTATTTTTTGTAAATGACATTTTGACTAGTATCTATAATACGTTTTTAATAAATAAGAAAAATGCTTGTATTTTCATGAGAAAATATATTTTAACAAATGTAGATGATCACTCTAATAATCAAATTTCAGTAAGTCTCCATGTCTCAGACCAAAAAATATACATACGAAATAAATGCTATCCAGTAGGTCCTTGGTAAATAGAAAATTATGTTTTATGCAAATAAATGTTGCCCAATATTTCCTTAGTAAATGAAAAAGTGATTTTCGAAACACTGAATTCCGACCTCAAAACTAGATCTAATGCCAGGGTAAGCACAGGACAATGACAAGCTGACACAGACACAATTATCATCATTAATGGCACAAGATTTGGAGAGCAATACTAGGAACTTCCAATATTTCTGGTTAAAAATGTAAAAATATTAGTCTTTGAGTATAACTGTCTATTTAAAATGATACTTTATCAGCCCCACACTTAACCACCCAAGGGCAACTGGGAAAAAGGCTGGAAACACAAAGACCATCCTCCATTTTAGGCTCCATTTAAAGACACAAAGTACGAAAGAACAAGTGTTTTCATTTCTAGGTAAATAAGTCCCGAGAAGAGGCTGAGAACTTTGAACAGATCAACAAAATAAGTTCCTCAATATGCCATAATCAGAAATGGAAGAGAACAATCTAAAACAGGAAGAGGGAAATATTAAAGAAATCTAGTCGATAACATTTGTAAAGCATATTTTAAGAAATTTGAAAAAAAAAGAAACATCTTTAGGTTGAACAGGATGAAGAAAACTTAGGAGTAAGGACATGTAAAGAGAACAAAATGGATCAAAGGACTGTTCGAGAGAAGTTCTTGAGAAAAGCATAGGAATTGGGAAAAAATGGAAATGAGGTAAGTGCAGAGAGCAAGAAGAAAAGAGATGGCGCTGGACGAGGCAGGACAGGCGTACGTCCAGGGTTTGGGAAAACGTGTACATTTTCTGATTAGGGCAATTATTTGCTGAGTTTAGTCAAAGAAATCAGCTAAAAAGCTCTGGCACTTGGAACCCACTGATTTTTAAGGATAGGTATGACAACATCTATCAGAAACACAGAAGGTTTTCAAAATTTGGATGCTCAGTTGATTAGGAACCAGACTGAGAGTACCTAACTCACTGGCCACAGCTGAACAGCTGACAGACAATAATTCTCTGCCTCCCCCACCAGGCTGGATTTCGACTAGAGGCTTAAGGCTCTGGAACTTATTACTACTCTCTCATTCCAGTGACATCCCTCAGAAGGAAGGCATCCACGACATGGACATGAACTTACTTTATTTGTAGTTATCATACTTTCTTCCTTCCCTAGTGCTCTGGTGAAGAGTGGGCTTAGTGGCAATATCTCTAAAACCATGAAATGTAGAGTCCACAGTTCTTGCTGATGGCAAAATTTACTTCTAGATATTAAATACATCAGATACACCGTTACTAAGCAATGGGAGTATTTTCTGTTTCTATCCTAAAAATACACAGTTTATCTGGTTGGGAATGAAATAAGCTCAAAGAGCCTTACTGACTTTAATAACCATTAGAAATGGTAGGGGGGAAATAAACTCATGTATGGTTTTTGCCAAAAGGTTTAAGTAGGATGGTGGTGACTTTAAGGTCAAGCTTAATGAACGTAGACAAACTTAGGGTCAATAACCTTACAAACTTAGGAACTGTACACAGAGATAAAAAGCAGTAACTGTGTTATCAGGCTAAATAACACAAATGGTTACTGTATCAAATGGTTATTAACAGGCCAATATGCTCTAACTTTCTGTAAGTTCCTTTAAATGTCTTTTTAATTTTAGAAATCTAAAAATGTACAAATATACGAATATAGCCCTGGCTGGTGTGGCCCAGTAGATTGAGTGCTGGTCTATGAACCAAAGGGTCACAGGTTCAACTCCCAGAGCGCATGCCTGGGTTGTGGGCCAGGTCCCCAGTAGGGGGCATGCAAGAGGCAACCACACACTGATGTTTCTCTCTCTTTCTCTCTCCCTTCCCTTCTCTCTAAAAATAAATAAATAGATAAAATCTTTTTAAAAAAATAAATGTAAATTTAGTAGTATTCTATATGCCTCACATTAATCACAGCAATTTCTCATGACAATCTTCATCACAAAGATCTGTATTGTTTGGAGCAACACAAAAGAATCTATCTTTTGCTATCAGACATTAATTACATAAAGTTTGAAAGCAATGCCATCTAGTGGACATCTTTTTTATTAAAAATATTCCTTTCGAAAGACTCACTAAAGATTCAACAAATATTTATGGAGGACACACTGTAAGCCAAGCACTATTCTAGGTGCTAAGGATGTGACAATGAACGGCAAAGCAAAACAAAAACCTTCCCTCACGGAACTTACATTCTACTGAGAGAGACAAGCAACAAAGTACAGTATACCATGCGTCAGATATAAATGCTCTAAAGAAAAGTGAACCAGGATGAGGGGACAGACTGTCACAGAGGGCATTTTGTCCCATTTTACCTTATGTGGTCCACGAAAGCCTCTTTTCAATAAGCTGACTTTGAGCAATGGTTTAAGGGAGATGAAAAAAATGAATCATGTGGCTATCCAGTGGAACAGTGAACAGGAAGAGAGAACTACAGCAGGTACAAAAGCCCGGATGTAAGAAGATGCCTGGGTTGTTTGAGGAATAACAAGGAGGCTAATGCAGCTGAAACACAAGAAGCAAGGAGGAGAATTAAAAAAGAAATAAAGTCAGAGGGCCAGCCAGGGGCCAAAATCACACGAGATTCTTAAGTCTGTGGATTTTAGTGGATTTCATTGTAAAAGCCTAGGAGCAGGATGGGACATGATCTGACTTATTTGTAAAGAATCACTCTGGCTACCAAATGAAGAAGAAACTGTAGATGGGCCAGGGTGAAAACAAGATCAGCCCAGGTAAGAGATAATGGTGTCCTGACCTAAAGAACAGCTCATGTGATTACAAGTAACTGAACACAAGATGTAGTTCAAAAGGGGAGCTGAAGGGGTTTCTTGACTAAATGGGTCAGCATCTGGAAGAATGGAATTCACCATTCATTAATGTGAAGAAGAATGGATTCGGACTAAAGGTTTTGTTATTAGTTCCCCGTTACTTCATAGCCCTTGTATAAAAGGAAAGTTAAAAGCTTTACATTAGTGACCACATGCCAACTTGAAACAAAACATATGCATAATGTAAAAACAAACAAAAAATGCTTTCCAAAACTCTAGTTGAAATATTGCATCATAAATGTGCTGAAATAAAAGTTTATGGGTTTCAAAGCTTCTTGTACATATGTAGCATTTTCCTGATCATTAATTCAGTATGTGCTTTCTCAGCACTGTGGGATTACTAAACATAATAATGTGAATCTATTAGTTCCTTACAGATTCCAGAAAATTCCAAAGTTTTGTTTTAGTAATAATAAGTCTGTGCTTATAACTAATTTCCATTTTCTAACCTAGAAACTCTTCAGGATCCCCCTCCCTATGAATTCACCTAGATTCACAAATGATAAGGCAGCTGAAACTGGACTAACAAAAACCTACTCAGACTCATGGAGCCATCTAAAACAAAACGGTGAGAGGGAATTTATTTCCTCTATCTATCTCTGGGTCAAAGACCCTGGATTTGTACAAACTAGCAAATAAGTAACAAAGACTGTAATGGAGCCTTGAGCTGAAAGTCCCCCAAAATGGAGAAAACCCCCATACCAATCACTTGGGGCATGAGGGAAGTGGAGCAGGGCCACTGAGAGTGACTGGGTATTTATCTGAAGAACTCAGCCAGTGGTTTAATGATATTACAGCTGTGCATGCACTGGGAGCCAGGGAGAGGGGCATGACTCTAACCGCAGATGTGATGTAGCCCGAGATGCGAAGCAGCCGGAGAGGCTTTCGGCGCCTGCCTGAGAGAGAACGACCTGGAAGCGACCTCTGAATCACAGGGTCACCCCTGCCCGGACTAACAATGGCAGGAGAGAAAGGCAGAAGAAACCAGACTGCTGGCAGGTATAACCCAGTGTGGGAGGAGTCGGAAATGGGGTTACAGAGGAGGATCCACGCCGGGGACTTAAACCCAGGCGTGGCAGCCATGCTGGGGCTTAACCACGCAGTTCGGGAGCAGAGAAAGAGCTCTCCACCACTCAACCACTCGGCTTCAAAAGCAGGAAAGCAGAACGTAGCAGCAGCTCCCTCCTGGTCATGCAGTTTGAAAGGATGATGAAGGATTCCCTGGCCCACCATGAGGACATGGTTTTGGATTAAGAATGGGAGCCTAGCTGAGCTATGGACTTTTATAACAGTACCCCCGACTGGCTTCGTTTGGCAAGGGGAGGCAGGAGTGTGTGTGTGTGGTGTTTTAAAGGGACTTTGGGATTTAATGGCGACATTCTGCCACTACTCTAAACCTACATAACTTTTAATTAAATAATTCCTTTCCTTTTTTACCAAACTCTGGCATTGAGAGCCACAACTCTTAGCAGCAGCAGGCAAAAAGAATCATGGAGTAATAAGACCCCCAGGAGTGGGGGGTGGGATTTTCTATAACGAGATCACACTGGTATTGCCTTCGGAATCAGCTGAAGTTGTGGCTGGCCACTACCCCTCTAGCTCCCTCTGGATACACTGATTCATAAATAGTGACACTTTAAATAATTTGGCAGGAATTAAAAGGCAGTGGCAAGTGACA